GGTTGTTAGAGGCGCCAGTCACCTGATCTACTAGTCACATTTTCAATCTATGTGGTTACATTCTCACCAGAAAAAATTGTCAAAACTTAGTGGCTTAAAAGAGTCCTTGGATTAAAATGATTGAGTCTGGTCAAAAGCTCTGGGATCAAGATAATCCTGATTATCTCTCACCTGGCTGTTGCTGCATAAAATGGATCTTTCCCCATCTCTGGGCTGTTATCTCATTGGGCTCCCTCCGGCCCTGTCTTGCACAGTGGGGTGTACTGACAGCATTTGGTTTCCATTGACAATGAACAGGCAGCTGTTGCTGGCCCAGAGACTTGGGTATAAGGGGGCTCACATACAGTAATGTTTCCAACACGCACACTGGTGCTGAGTCCTTTAAAAGGAATCTCATATCCATACTGTGATTAGGATCAGCACCAAAATTTAATCACGCTTTTTCCATCAGCCATGAGATCTACCTCTACAAAAAGTTTCATCCCGATCCATTCATTACCTTTTGAGTTATGCTATTAACAAAACACAGACTGGCAGAGAAAAATGAGGTTCAACATCAACAGATTCCTATTTCAACACCCTTCTCCTGACAGCTCCAGCCATGCATCCTGCTCTAAGCAGCTTACTGGGCCTCTCTTAGGTTCTAGTATACCTTTATGTTATCTTCCTCATTTCAAGTGTGTGTGTGGTAATGATGTGTCAAGATGTTTTATTTGTTTGCTTTGCAAAGATGTGCCTGAGAGCCATAATACCTGAATGTTATTAGTATCAAGACCAGAAAACTCCCATTGTCTCCCATCCACAGTGTATCATGCTTATTTTGATGGTTTTTCAGTCCTGCAAAAGAAAGATAATGTCATTGTATGTTTCACTTACACTTATAAATTTAAAGTGTGTGTTAAATCATATCCTAACAGAAATCTTGTCACAGGTACAGTGTGAACCCATATACATGTATTTGAAATAAATATTCTTGATGAGTAACTTTAAAAAGGTTTGTCCAGATCACAGAAGCTCATAGGGGTGTTTTGTTACACCACAGACTCGAGATTGTACAAAATCACTGGCAGATGGGAGTTCAAGGATTCCTAGATCAGACTGAATGACGTTGCTCTGATCACAAATATGGTGTAAAATGCTGCTCTTCTTTAGTGCAACTGATTTTGTCATCATGTACTCATGTACATTTTGCATCATATTCTCAACTCCTAATGAAACAACGTGCATATCTGTTCTCCAACACACTTCACATGACAAATGCTTTACCTGCCTTGTTTTCATTGAGGTCTCGGTTCATTATAATACTGTATAGTCTATGAATCTGTCATGTGACTTATAAATCCTCATAAATACAAGGTAAGAATCAACCCTAACCATTTATACATCTTGTATCATTAAATACTGGTAAACCATGGTAAAATCCAGAAATCCACTTCTATTGGGACTTTATTTATATGATGTTGAATATCACAGCACTGTTGAAAAAAAAGGTACATTAAAATGCATCACTTTTGGATGTACTGGTCAAACAGCAGAGCACTTTTAGTACAACCAAAAACCAGAAAAAAGTTGGGATGGTATGTAAAAATCAAAATTAAAACAGAAACTAGTGACTTGTTAATCATCTGTGTCCTGTATTACATTGAAAACAATAAAGCAGCACATTATTAGATGTGATATGTCATCAATTTTATTCTTTGTTCAAAATAATTCCTAAATCCCATTTAAATAGAAGCTTTTACTACCACTGCCTGTTTAGGAACCTTACAAAGGGTGAGGAAAGTTAAATGTAATCGGTTGATAAACTGCATCCTTCTGCTTTGAGTATGTTGCTTTTGCTGTAAACTGTTTTCAAGAAAATCCTCAAAGCTCATCACAGAGGGTCAGAGTGACTGGTTCAATAGCGATGCAGCACTGAAATATCACGGCAAACATTTAATGGCATGGAAGGAATTAGAATGCAGACTGAAAATGGCAGGAGCTCAGTCACTTGTTTAATATGAGTGGCAGAGAGGAACCTTGTTCTAAGAGGAGCAGTAGATGGCCTCAATAGGCCGAACAATGGTCATTTCCTGAAAGAGCTCAAACTTCTTGTCAGGTTTGATCCAGCTTTAAAAAAAACAAGTTAGGCACATCATAGCTGGTGCAAATTATATCACCTATTAAGGGAAAACCAGTCAAAATGAGCTCATTGCATGTATTAGTGGAAAAATACTTATCACTATGGTGGCTCAATACAACAGTCAAAGGATTTTTCAGTCATTTTAGACTGTACACCAGCCACCAGGAAGAAGTGTCAGTTGACAACGCCCCAGAATTCAAAGAGCACTTTCTTGGTCTCCTGGCTCCACTGGCTTTGGCTTGTCTTCATTAATCTTAAGCAAACTGGAGTTTTCATGACTGCAGGGGTCAGTCTTATGATAATGGCTCACACATGGAGAAAAATGGATGGCAAGCCAGGATGACTGAAAGGAAAATTGTCATGCACTTTATGTTCCATGTGGTACACACACTCTGAATCTAACGGCTGCAGACTCAGCAAAGTAGTCAGATGCCATCAGCTTCTTTGGCATACTCCAGAAGCTGTACAACTAGTTCTCTGCTGCTTCTCAGAGATGGGCTGTTTTAAAGCAGCATGTCTACCTCACACTCAAGTAGTGGAGTGAGGCAAGATGGGAGAGCAGAATCAACAGCACTGAGCTTTTATGTTACCAAACTGACAAAGTTAGAGAGGCTTTGACTGAGCTCGGAGACAAGGCATCTGATCCTGCTGTAAGAATTGAGGCCCAGTCCTTGGCATAAGAAATAGGATCATTTAGATTTCAAATCTGTACAGTGGTCTGGTTTGATAGCCTTTCAAATATCAGAATCAAAATCAGCTTTATTGGCCAGGTGTGTTGGACACACGAGGAACTTGACTCTGGTACAGCGGCTCTCAGTGTGTATGTACATATCAACAAGCAAAGGAATGTGCATTAGGAAAAGAGATATATAGTCAGCCAACATGCAGCTTGATGCTGCTGTCAATCTAACAGACAAAGCAAACGCATCCCTGTTAAAGTATACTGTAGAAACACAGAAGTCTCTGATACATAGTCAAAGGCAAAAGAGTTATGTGAGAAAATGGACATGGAGGCAGTGCTGAAGCAGAAGAACACCAAAAGGCAGTTTGCTATGAGGCAGAATGAGACTAGGAGTGATCCATTAAATACTATACTGTAGAAATAAATGTTGATTAATTATTTGAAAGAAACTTTATTGTTCTTCCATTCAAAACACTGACATTAACATTACATGAGGGATAAGTATGGTTTCATAGGGAAAGCATGTTTTTCTAGTACACAATCTGAACTATTCACAAAAGAGTAAACCTCTGCTAAGTATGTGAACTATACTGTAAATTGCTGAAAACTGAAGGTGTCTTCCTTGAAGCAAATGGAAGTGAAACTGAACACTGCCTTTAAATCGCACATGGTGTGTGGTATTAACCAGCTGTATAATGTCCACTCATCTGCAATGTTTAAATAGGTCTCATTAGTGTGTGAATAAGTGTTATATTGATGGAAAGTGGCTTCTTTATTCCAATGTCTATGTCCACTTCATGAACACTGAAATTTAGGTTTCACTCTGGAAAGCGTCACAGCTGCCGTCTCCTCTCCAGGGGTTCTTCCTCTCTGTACATACAGTTCATAGCTGTCTTACAAGACACCCTTTGCCACAGGAGCAGTACTTTACCAGTACTTTGGTTTATGTGATGCATTTGAGTCAGTGACTGTAACCTCACAGCCTTGGTGCTGCCCACTGCTTAATTCTCTATGTCTGTGTATCAAAGAAGTACTTTGTGGTAAATAAAGTGAATGATGTGGCATATAAGATTATCCACAGATGCTATCCAACAAACCTGTTCATTCTGTGGTGGCCACTAGGAAACCTTTAGCCATTTATTTTGGTACTGTGACCACACCCATTGGTTTTGGAAAGATGTCTGCAGACTTATATGCAATCACTTGAGTTCTGGTTTTAACCTAAAATTTGAGAATTTAGTTTTTGGTGTTCATGGCCATAATGCAGGACATTTACATGGAGAACAACAGTTTTTAATGAACTTAATTATTTTTGAAGGCAAACCCTACTTCCTATCTTTTTGTAATTGCATGGACGTTTACATAAAGACTATCTCTTCTTCTGTTGATGCAAAAGCTTTGAAGATGTGTATGCTTTGTCAAAAATATGTAGCTTTCCCTTTATTTATTTAATCTCTTTTATTCAGTTTTTACCCCGGGCACTGTTGTGTTATGTTTTCCTTATATTGTATCTTTATTATGTGAAATAAAGTTTTAAAAAAAAGAGAAAAATTTAAATTAATATTTAAAGTGTATTCTCACAGACAAAATGCACACTAGATATTTTATACATGATTTGACTTTATACACAACTTTGTGTATAAGTTATTAATGTATGGACAGCCATAATCTAATATGCACATATATTATTGCCAGCTGTTTTCCCTCCTGGTCCAGTCCTCAGGTTGGGCACTGTAAACCACCTGCCCTATGGCTATAGTAGATGTATGTACAGTATGTAGGTGTACTACATACTGTATTAGCTAAATCACAGTAAAACTTGTACTGTTCCACTGACAGCACGGGTTAAACCTTTATTTTAAATCTTTATTAGACTAAATATCATTATGCTACTAGTGCTGCAACAAGCCTAATTAAAACATCATTTACAGAATTTGATGTAAAATCTGCACCAAAACTAACAAAAGAAAGGAATGTAGCATAAAGCCTAACGCCCGATGACCATGGCCAGGGACCGCTTCACTGACCAGCTGCTCCTTTCCAGATGTATGATGCTCCGCACTAAGCAGGTTAAAGTCGGATATACGATTAGAACAGAAACATAGCGCAGATGTACTTTTCCTTTTTAAAATTCAATATAGAGTCTCCGAGGGCGACAAAGAAAAATCTGCCAGCATGACATGATATTAGTGAATTTCATCATGCTTTCTGTTCGTGACCTGCAGGAGGGGGCTGCTGACGCCAGCTCCCAGCAGCTTGATCGGCTCAACCACAATAAAAGGTGGATGGAGTCCTCGTTTCATCCGAACCACACACAGAACTCCTGCTGCAGACTTCAGCTCAGACTCCGGGGGAATCATATCAAAGGTAGGTGACTGCTTTGGTTTAGCTTAACAGGCGTTTCGTAGTTTTAGTGCCTGGAAAAGTTTGCTTATGCTCACTAAAATGAAGGTTACTCATGATGGAGAAAAGTGGTCCTGATGGAATTCATCTTCAGTAGAAGCCGGTGTTGTACTGGTAAATGGATGCACTGTAAATTCACTATACCTGTGCCCTCTGCCTGGCCACCTGTATAACTTTTTAATTGAATGGAGTGTAGGCTAAATATCCACATTTACTGTACTTAGATACTTAGGAATACATCAAAGAGCAAGTTTTAACTCAGTGTATCCAGCTGATCCAACTTTATAGGCCCAGCCTTTGTTTCACACCGATTCAGAGAAGTTATTGTATTTTTTACTCCGTCACACTTTTTCTTCACATTTTACATGTAGGAGAAATGATGCACTGCTAAAAATATCACTGTCTAACAGTAGGCTGTAGCAATATTCAAACTAGCTGCAACATCAAGCGGTTTGGTGAGATTTTAAAGGGTAGCGGGCTCACGCAGCCTGACCTGAAGACTAGAGTCGGGAAACTCAAGTCTCCCGGGCGCAGTAAACGCCACAGAGGAGTGTAGTGGTCGATTGTAGCTATTTACCGGCAGGTATACGGTAAATTCCCTTGTCCAGATGTGGGTATATACCTCTTACAAATGTTATAAAATAATTTTCTGATGGTGGACACTTTCTTTCCTCTCTTGCTTAGATGCAGAGGTGCTTTGGGATGTTCTGCGTGTCGCTCATTTTGTGCGCAGCTCTGTCTGAGACCGTCGGGCTGGTCATTGCGGTAAGCCGCTGCTGTTATTACCGGTAACTGCGACTTCATTTATATTCAGATGCCAGATCATTCGGGGATACAGTAACCTATAATAACAGCAGGGTGTAAAGTGACAATAAACATTCTAATAATGTCTAAATATTATTTGGAGCCAATCCCAGCCAGCAATCGGCGAAGGCAACTGATATCAAAGTACTAATTTGTAGGTATTGTACTAATCATGACAGCAGAGCTTTTTGGGCATTTCTGTTATTTAGGTATAGTGCAAAGGCAGAGATGCAAAGTAACTAAGTATATTTACTGTACTTAAGTGCAATTTTGAGCTATTTGTACTTGATTATTTTTCATATCCTGCTACTTCAAACTTTGACTTCACTACACTTCAGAGAAAAATGTTGTACTCTGTACTCACTAAATTTATTTTAGAATTTTGTTCACTAGTTACTTTTCAGACTCCACTTAATAAAACAAAATGCAGTATAATCACAAGACGTATTGACCCTTGGTATAAAATTCAGAAGGTCCCCAGCTGTATATCAAGTACTTCAAATTATCAGCATATAAAGGAGTTAAAATTAGCGGTACCTGTACCAGGTCCTACATTAAATGTGATGTACACAATAATAATCAAATATGATATACTTGAATGTAAACTGTATTTTGCTTAATTAGTGCTTTTACCAAACGTTTTGGAAAATATGAATTGAAATTTTTCTCTTTTTTTAAACTTTATTTCACATAATAAAGATACAATATAAGGAAAACACAACACAACAGTGCCCGGGGTAAAAACTGAATAAAAGAGATTAAATAAATAAATAAAGGGAAAGCTACATATTTTTGACAAAGCATACACATCTTCAAAGCTTTTGCATCAACAGAAGAAGAGATAGTCTTTATGTAAACGTCCATGCAATTACAAAAAGATAGGAAGTAGGGTTTGCCTTCAAAGATAATAAAGTTACTTAAAAACTGTTGTTCTCCATGTAAACGTCCTGCATTATGACCATGAACACCAAAAAAAAAGTATATCACATTTGATTATTATTGTGTACATCACATTTAATGTAGCAGCGGGTACAGGTACAGCTAATTTTACTTTAATTACATTTTCTGCTAATGCATTTCTACTTTTAATTAAGTAACATTTTGAGTGCAGGATTTTAATTTGACAGAGTATTTTTACACTGTGGTATTGGCATGTTCATTTCCAGCCATTTAATGTTTAATCTTGGGTACCTCTAGATTAGCCTGGCACCCCTCATAACTCCAAATAGTCTGTAATTATTTCAGAATGATAAAACCAGAGAGAGCGACAAAAACAACCCTCAAATCCTACTTGACATGTTTGAGCTAGAATATGAAAGTGGACAGCATGACGAACCGTAATGGAATTAATTAATTGGGATGTCTCCTCCATAGATAGGTAAACAATGGTATATGTACTGATGAAAAGAGATGTGTAACTAAACAAAGTGGGCAAAACCCCCATATTTTAACTGGCATAATGCAGACATAGCAACTTCTCCAGCCTTACAACAATTCTCTCTAATAACAGAAAAAAGGCATTAACAAACATGAAAGGTGTGTGTTTTTTAAACTTACCGTTAAGTCCCACTGAGTAGTGGAAACATCACTCCATTTGAAGTAGCTCCAAGGTTGGTAAATCCAACCAGTGATCGTTGTGTCTTCCCCCACATGGCCACATACAGTCCCAAACAGGTAGCGTAGCACCAACAATAACATCAATTTAATCTAATCTGCTGCTTAACCAGCAACACATCACATGCAACTCAAACTGGCCTCAAACAGTTAAAACAAACAGGTACTGTGCTATGTGAGAATCCAGCCTTGATGAGCTGATCATTCACTGCCATGGGGTCTTCACAGGCTGGTTGCTTGTAAGTTAGACCCGGTCAGATAAAACAGCAAGTCCCTGTACAGGACCATTCCCAGACTTGCAGTAATCTCAGGCCCTATATTTTTCTTCACATCCTCTGGTCACAGTGCAGCAGGAGGGAAAATATATCCACAAAACCAGGCACAGTTGAAAAATCCAGCTTTTAGAATGGCACCGGTGGATGTCAGGCAAGCTCACATGAACATGCAACTGCCTGGAGGTTATGACCATTCAAAGGAATCACATTGTTTGAAAAAAAAAGTTTTGCCAGTGAGAATTTGCAAGACGTGTATAAACTTCTGCAAAGAAGTATTAGAACATTCAGTAGATACATTGTTGTAACTTTGTAGATAAGTTATAAAAAACAAGGAAAAGCATGCCATGGGCTCCTTAACTAAACAATCTAAGTACAAAGTATTTCTTCCACCACTATGCAGGGGGCACCAGAAACTGACAAAGCAACATACCACAACCTATGACTAAAAACATCTTACAGTATATACAGTACTTATAGTTGATAGGTAGTGTACAATGTGTTCGACATTATAAAAGTAACGTTGACTTTCAGATTTCTAAACTTTTGTCTGTAAAGTAAGTAAGTAAGTAAAGATTTATTTATATAGCACCTTTCACAGATAAAATCACAAAGTGCTTCACAAAGTCAGCAATGCAGAATGCAAAACAAACAAAACAACAATATGCAAACAACACCAACAGATAATATATAAAACTAAGATAAAAATTAATTAAAACCAAACTATCAAATCAACTATAAGCCTGACTAAACAAATGTGTCTTCAGCTGCTTCATAAAACCACCAACAGATTTGGCCATGCACAGTGACAGGGGCAACACATTCCACAGTCTAGGAGCCACAGCCTGAAAAGACAGGGCCCCCCCTAGTCTTCAAACGGGTTTTGGGGACCACCATAATGGCCTGAGTTGAGGAATGGAGAACACACTTCGGGAAATATGGGGTTAATAGGTCAGCAATATACTGAGGAGCCTGATCATGAAGTGCCCTAAATGTTAGCACTAAAATTTTAAAGTCAATTCTAAACCTGACTGGTAACCAGTGAAGTGAAAATAAGACAGACATAATATGAGCTCTTCTAGGGGTTCCAGTTAAAAGCCTCGCTGCAGCATTCTGCACAATCTGAAGACGATTTACAGCTGACTTATTGCAACAGATAAGAAGAGAATTACAGTAATCAAGACGTGCAGAGATAAAAGCATGGATAATCATTTCCAAATCAACCTTTGATAACATTTGCCTTAGTTTAGAAATATTCCTCAGGTGATAAAAACAATTTTTTACCACCTGTCTTACGTGGCAATCAAGAGACACAGTCTGATCAAACACAGCACCAAGGTTTCTGAGGCTCGACTGGACAGAGGAGCCCAATGAACCAAGGCGTTGTCTGATTGACGGGATCTTATTATCAGGTGCAATAATTAGCACTTCAGTCTTATTAGGGTTTATGTGAAGATAGTTACTGTTAAACCAGTTCTTGATGGATGACAAGCACTCTAACAATGAAGCTAAAAAATGGAACTCAGAGTCATTAAAAGAGCAATAAATTACTCTGTGTGAGATTCTTAAACAAGTGCAGCAAACTGACTGGAGGTAGACTGTAATAATAGATACATAAAAAGTGGTAAAGAGAACTCATTTATTGACTTTAATAATTCAGCCATAGTCTTTAAACACTGAATGCCTGTATTTTTTATTTGAAGAGACTTAAGACGTGACAAAGTTAAAAGACATTTCAGAAGTAAACACAATGAATAATACAAGAAGTGTGTTTCTGTCTATGACCTACAGGCAAAAGAGAAGCGCGGCTGGACCCTGAACAGTGCTGGCTACCTGTTGGGTCCTCGTAAGTACAGCATTAGTGATCAGCTGTTACCTCAAATGTAAAATCTCACTTCAGTACATCTGGAAATATAATTTTGGTCAACATTATGTATTAGTACACATGCATTTTTACACATTTTTCCATAAACTGTATGTGTCTGTGCGAAGCAAATACAGTAACCTGAACCACACAATACATCAGTATGTTAGTTTTCATACCGCTATCTTGGCTGTACAGTAATGAAATGCTGGCTTCTTGAACAGTTCATTTACACTTCCAGGACTTGTGAAGTGTGCACATTTTAACTATCACTTATTCTTCAGCACTTATTTCCATGCCTGTACTGCTGTTGAGTCCGTTGTCTGTCTCTGCATCATTCTGCCTCTCTGTGCTCAGACAGCAGGTGATTGATCGTGTTGAGTGCTTCAGTTTTGTTCACATCAGCTGACTACAGCCTAGGCAGTGGTCAAAATGTCAGTAGTCCATATCATTTAACAGCAAAATATCCAAATCTGTTTGTATCCACTGAAATAGAGTGCATGGGAGAGGGCTTCTAGGTAGATGAATAAATGATACAACAGTATTACCAAATCTTAGGAATTAATAGATAAATAATTTTAGCAAAGGTCGAGGAGTGAGGCACTCTTCATTAAGATAAAATAAAACACACCCCCACACAACAACAACAGCAAACAAAAGATAATAAATGGAGCTTGAAAGGCTTCAAACCAGCTGAAAAACAGAAATGTTATAAAAAGAGATGAGCCATAGAAAACATTTTGAGCAATTCAGCCTTTAGCACAGTTACTGTCAAAGTTCCAGCAGATAACATAGTAGCAGGTGACAGGGAGATGTGATGTGAAGCCACCGCACATTTGGAAAGTATGATCCACAAATTGCACTTATTCAAAGTGATGTCAGGGAGTAAATGGTGCATTGCATTCTGGGATTTTTAGGGGGAATCATCAGTAAAATGACAATAGTAAGACTGAAAGTAGAGTGTGAGTGGGACTTCTCTCCCCACAAATACTGTCTCTGTGACAGTGATGTGCACTGGCTCCACTGGCTCCAGTGGCTCCAGTGGCTCCAGTGCAGGGGTTTTAGTGTTCACAAGCTAAGAAGCCTTTTATTACAAGGCCAGTGAAGGTAGAGACATGATGGCAGTTTGTGATTAGGTAGTGACAACATTTAGTTTGAAATATTAGTTTAGTTAAGGGTTCACAGAATTGATGTAATGACATGCTCAGGATAACGCTAGCACCAACTACTAATGCCTGGGTTCCCAAACCTTTTCAGCTTGAGACCCAGAAGAGAAATCTGGTCAAAACAAAAATCCCTAATGAATTGCTACAATGTCTGCATTTGTAAACTACTGATAATGAAGACAACAAAACCTGAAATTAAACTGTAGCCTATATAAAATATATTCATTTCATTGTAAACGTACATGCAAATGAAATAAAAGCGTACATACATTTCGAACCATATTATAATGAACTTGGACAAATCAAACATTATTTGGACTGTCTGACAAGAGCATCAAATATTTTGTTAGTCCAACTGTCCAGTAAGCAGCTACATGTGTGGTGTTTTATGCAACATAACATGCCATTCATTTTATTTCAGGCAATGCAGCAGTAAGTAACATTTGAAGACTAGTCCAACCTGATCATATGAACTGATATACGGCGCTCTAATTTACTTCAGTCACACATTAACATTCAGTGTTCAGCTGTGATAGAATCTGTGCTGGTTCCTTCTCCCTCCTCCTTCCCCATGTTTTTCAGAATGTTTACATGGAACAGCCAGTATTTAACACATCATTTAACTGTTGAGCTGCCTATTAATTATTACAGCAAAAAGAACCGATGAATGGTCTATAAGAAATATGCTTCACAACGAGAGAGAGAGAAATTAGCAGCCCATTCCCATTTTTCATAAAAAGGAAAGAATAAATTTCCATGTTTTTCTGACCCATTTACAGTCAAACTATCAGTTTTTGCACTTTCTTTGCAGACATTTAGATTTAACTTAATCATTCTGGCTTCGTTTGTTGTTTCTGCACTGACTGCACTCAGTAGCCACTTAGCTAGGTGTGATTAGACAATGATGGGTCAAGCAGCTCTACAGTAATCAAACAAAGTGCCAGTGACACAGGTCGTGCTCCCTGTGCACTCCACTGATGCTCCTGCCTCTTTGCTTCTGTCTCTACTTTGTTCATCATCACATGTAGCAGCTGTTTATAATCCTTGGCCTACTGTTTACAGATCATTATCTACCTTTGCACACTTAGCATCAGCCAACAAGTCCTTTTTCTCTCTGTCGCTCATTTTCTGCACTGCTGGCCGCAGGTTTTCCATTTCTCCAAGTTTCATTTGTTACCAAATCTGCTTTGCAGATGTGAAGGCAGCAGCTCTGACAGCTGTTAAGGCTTGCACCAGCAGTGTCACTGCAGCCAGCATGTCCTGTATAGGCTGGACAGTGTCTCAGCAGTTTAGGAGGAAAACCTATTGGTCCACTAGGAAAATTTATGAACTTTGCTTGCCAAGATGAGGTTGAGCTGACCAGACCGGTGTACAAAAAAGAGTGCTCCTCTTCTATTTTGATTAGAAAAAATAATTCACATATCATAGTATTGTTATGCATTTTATTATACCAACTATGACCCTAAGTTTGAGAAAGGCAGTGCTAATGTAACCGCTAGCTGTTCCCTTTGTGTGGTGCATGACAACTGTAATGTAAACACAATATAAAGTACTATCAGCTATCTTAATCTTGTTGAGATTTCCTGAATGAGTAAATAAAGCTGAACTAAATAGCTAACTACATTAGAGGCTGGTAATTTAAGTTTTAATGACATTAAGTTTTCCACAAGAGGCAATGTGTGATTATGCTGTGTTGGCATTACAGTTGTCAACTGAGTACCACTGCAGCTACCTGCCATACAGAAACGACATCTTAATGGTTATGCTAGTAGATATGTGTCCTGGCAATAATAATAAAACTACTTAAATACAATCTGTGCATTATACTCTCTCAGTTCTATTGCTGTCATTTTGTCAACAGGACATCTTTAAAAAATCCCAGAATGCAAAGTACTATTTTGCCCCTAACATTACTGTGAAATAGGGTAATTAACAGCATTATGGGGCTGCATTCCATTTAGGTGAGCTGGTTCTGGTGCTCTGGTGTTGTGCATGTCTTCTCACTGACATGGCTTACTGGGACTCTTATTTCATGGTATTTTCATGATCCTCCCTATCTCCTTTAAATCCCAAAATAACGTTTGGGATTGGTTCATTATTTTTCTTCTCTGTTTGTTGTATCTTGTAAAGCACCTTGAGCCAGCGTTAGGCTGAGTAAAGCTGAGTTGAGTTGTGATGTTCACTATTCTTTGACAAATATTTCTGAACACGCTTAAATATAATCCCTAAATCTGAAGTAAAGCCTAACAAAATAGAACATTTTAAATACAGTATCTGATTTTTTTCATTAAACTTATTAAACATTCAGTAATTTCCATCATTATTTAGAAACAGACCAGGCATTTAAAGCTTCTATTTTAAGGTTTGTTCTTAAAATACTTAGCTTATCTAACTATTATTCAACACAACAACAACAACAACAAAAATGAATAAACATATTTCCTAACCTGAGCAGAACTGTAGTAGTAACTGCTAATTGCAAATGACCTTAGCTGCACCATGACTATAATTTTCTCGTTGTACTTGTATACAGAATAGAGCTGTGACTAATCTTGGGTTTACAAAAGAGACAGTCTCGTTCATCTTCTGTGAATTAATGCCGTTCTGTTTCTTTGTCCCTTCCACAGTCTCTACTGTGTCATCTAATTTAGTGTAATTTAAAGATTGCCTCATTACCTTTAGAGGACACATTAAGAGAACACTGGGTTTCCAGATGTGTGTGTGTTTGTGTGTGTACACATGTTCTTACCAATTTGTGGAGTCCAGAGCTGGTACCCTGGAAATGTTGTCCCTGTGTGTGTGTGTGTGTGTGTGTGTGTGTGTGTGTGAGAAGCCCAGGTAAAGGTTGCTCCTGCCTCATCCTGTGTTTCAGGTCGTATTGATCACCTAATTCAGATAAAGGATTCTCCCAGTGCCAGAGGCAGAGACGAGCTGGTCAATCAATGTAAGATAGAAACATACGGCCGCTGCAGGGCCTTGGTGTCAGGCCAGGAATTGCTCTGTCCACACACCTTGCCTCTTAGCTGCTTCTGTCACTCATCAGAGGAGGACATCTGTCATCCTGCTGCTGTCTGCGCATATGAATCCAAATGTTGCATTTCTGTTTGTGCTTTAAGCAAAGGAATTCATGCTGATATGAGCATTTGTTGGGAAAGGAAAGGTGTGGCTCAGTGGGATTGCAGTGGGACAGAAAAACAGATACTTAACACTGTAAGTATCATATAATGGTAATACATGAGAAGCACAAACTGCACCTGGTAATAAATGAGATGCTGTGCTCTGAATACAGTACTTTTAGAATCAGGTAGCTACTCGAGCTACTTGACCAAATCAGTGCAGTGTTCCTCGGCTAATCCAAATGTAAGCCTAAAGTATAAATGTCAGATATACAAGGGTAAATTGGCAGACAAAGAATCAACACAGGCTTGGTAACTGCTGAGGAAAATACACACTCTATTGAACACATTCACCACAGTAAGGTAACTGGTTTTACGACATACACAGGTAATGTAACTGGCTGAGGTAGAAGCATCAGTTCTGACAGGAAATGGATGAGTAACTCAGAGAACAACTTGTGGCCATGTACAGACTGACCACAAACAAGCATTCATATACAGGAAAGTCCAAGCACAGCACAAAGGGAACACAGGACTCGAGTCCACATGGGGCAAACAGGAACGAGCACTGGACGCACTCAGGAGACGTATTCTCAGTGGATGATCAAGCAGAGTGAAAGCTCAAGGCTGGCTTATTGTGCACAATGGGCTGCAGATGTACGTAGTGGGAACTGACCAGGTCAGGTAAAGCTGGAGCCAGCATGGGGCAGACAGGACAGCAGAAGTCTACCAAAATAAAAGTGTGTAACAGGAAGTGCGGGGCATCATGACAATCTCTGTACTGAACACTAGAGCTCACTAGAGACTTGAATCTGGACTGTAGTCAGGTTCCTCAGATTTTCCAAGCTGCTCATAGCTACTCATGCTTCATTCCAAACACAAGTATCAGTTAACATGCCTGTTCTGACTAGTGTTCCAGTCTGTTGCATAGCATAGCGATCATGGAGCACTGAAACCAGGACCACCAGCGATTCTAACACTTTTAAAGTGGTTGTTTGCAAATGCTTAATTGTTGGTGAGCCCATAGGTTGGGGACCATGAAAACTCACTGCCACTTTTTAAGTGCATAGGTTCCATAGGAATAGACTGTGAGCTAATGATGCCCCCACCACCATGGCTAAGCAAACCACTTTCTTTGTCCATTATTTATTTTCATTTATGTCATTGTTATTTTTCTGATGCATCTCCTCGTGTGTTAATACTGCAGTCATATGTTTTATTTTATTTTTTCTGTTGGTTGAATCCCTGCTTTACTGCAATTCCATGAGCCAAGCCCTGCAGTTGGTCTGTACAAGTTTGGAAATTGAACCAAACAAATACAAACCAAACACCATGCTTAAATAACCAAGTGTAGAACACTGTGCTTTCGCTCCTAGCCTGGAGCAGCTGGAAATGAATTTCTTGCAAAGAAAACCTGAAAATCATACTTGTATTAGACTTTTATCAAGTGGAACTGCTGTTTAACTTTACATTATGAATTTGTATTTCAATTGAATTGAACTCAGGGCTGTAACCAGTGAACTCAAATGCTCAGCTGACTGATCTGCTGTTTTTATGACTGTATTGGCTGTGATCACTCCTCATTGTCCAGATGGAATAGATGGACACAGGACACTAGGAGACAAGCCAGGCCTGGCTGGCAAGAGGGACATGGGCCAGGAAGAAGAATTCAGAACAGGTCTGTGTGTCTCACAGAAACAGGGTGTCCCTCTCTCTACTGCTTCAAGTTTGTTCACTAGGTCCCATAAAGCTGATTTGCATTGTTTTTGGTTAACTGTTCTCTGTAATTTACATTACTGTAACATTAAATCTTCAAGATTCTCCTTTGTGTCAAGACACGTGGGTACCTGGAGATATACACTGCTCAAAAAAATAAAGGGAACACAAAAATAAGACATTCAACTATGTTGTGTTCCCTTTATCTTTTTGAGCAGTGTATATTTCACCATGTAATGTTACTAGAGCTCTAGTCAACCCTTAGAGTGTACTGCCAACTTTAAATGACATAACAGGCTGCACTTTGACATTTTGTCTCCACAGGTGTCCTGAGATTAGCAGATGAAGATATCATTCATACTGTGATTGACTTCCTGTCATACCTCAAACTTAAAGGTAAGCTTTTATTTCTGTCTTAAGATATTCTTTAAGCTTTTAACTTGAAGATAGGTTTAGCACTGGCATGCCAACCCTCTGATCAATCATTTGTGGAATTTTCTATGTTAGGAACCAGTTTTCTAAAACAGGCACCTGGTATCTAGCTTCTTTTATATTGCAGAAATAAACTATAGTTTAGGTTTTGAAATTAAAGTGGAAATTCCTGGTGTATCTATAAGATAGTCCATGATTGCCATTTATTTTAACAAATTTTTGAAATCCTTGCTGAGACAAACTTCCTCTGTCTGTGCTATGTATACAGTAAATCACCCTGAGCATCATGGTTGGTGGAATTTTAGTATCATGTTAATGTCAAAGTGTACAAAGTGTATCCTTGTGTGGTCCTGCAGTTGAAAGTGTGGATTGATGTCAGATGTCATTTTTGCATACTGGTTTACACTCAGTAACCATTAATGACAAAGTGAAAACATGTTTTTAGTTAGTTTTTTTTTTCATGTTTGCTAAAAATCAAAAACTGAGTGTTTCCAGGAGCACAGTGGTCTCAGTAACTGTGAGAGAACCTGCTGGAAGGACAAGCATCTCAGCAGTGCTCCATTGATCAGGTGTTTTTGGTGGAGTAGCGAGACAGACGCCACTCTGAGTGAAAATCAGATGACAGCTGCTTGGAGTTTGTCAGCCATCATTAAAAGGACTCTGCATGAGGATAAAGAATCTCTGGTCTGATGAGACAAATTTGGACTCTTTGCACTATGCCACTGAAGTGCAAAAGTGGCAATTTAATGCATTTACAAAATCTTCAATTGTGCAGAAAGACTTTCTGAAGTCATTGAAGCAATATTAAATATATAAAATAGCTGTAAGAAGAGTTATATGAAATTGTGGGCCCATATTCTTTATACATACATAAGTTCAAATTCAGTTTGGCCCTGATTTGTTTTAAACCAAATACTAAAACTAAGAAAATTTTAAGCAGCCTGCTATCGAGCCCCAGAGGCTGAAACATTTATTGTGCCCCACAGTATTCAAGTGTTAACAGTACCAGTCTTACCAGTAGTTGGACCAAAATGCACTATTTGTCCTAGAGGAAGGGTCAAGGGTTCATTTCATAAATGAGCTCAGACATCTGCCCATTGAATCAGTTATAAGACATATTGTGTACAGCTGGAGGATTTCCTCTTATGCTGGGCATTGGTGTAAGGACCAAAAGCTCACCAGAACCGTCGTGAATCTTCTTTGGATATAATGAACATCCTGAGCAGATGGCATGGAAATCTGGCCACCAGTTCTTGATATATGTTTGGATAAAAATGTAACCTGGACAAGCAGACTGATAGTCATATATAGGCCCTGCTAATGGCAGGACAAAATGACAAGTAAAACACACAGTACTTAATAACTTCACAAAGACAGTATTTGGTAAACACTGGTGAATTGTGTTAAAAGCTCTGACTTTGACCTTTGTTGAACCGATAACCCACTTGTCTCATACGTATGTCTATAGTAATGTTCTGTGAGCCCTGAGAACGCCATGTTTGTGTTTGCGGCTACAGAGATGGGAGCCTTGGACAGCCTGCCTTCCTCTGTGACATCAGATGAACTGGCCAGTGTCTAATGTGTCCACCTGCCTGCTGTTCATCCCCCTTCGACCCAAGTCTCCCATGGCCCTAAATCTCAACCTTACTGTAGCTCCATTCACACGTTGACACTGGATTTGTCCTGGTACCCAAGATCACATTCTTTAACTCTTTGTGACAGAAATAGATTTCTTTCAATTGAAATATCAAGATCTTTCTGCTTTTTCTGTAAATAAAACTTTATCTCTACTGAAGGTCAGCGAGTGTCTACTGGCTGTAGGCAGATCTAGGTAATGTGGACCACTGATCAGAATTATTATGATCTAAATATAGTATTTGATTTAAGAGAATGAAGTGAAATAAACAAATGGCACTGAACACACTGGATAACTTGAATTTATTTCTTCCCATCCCACATTCACAGTGTTTACTGAGGGGGGGGGGAAGTAAAATACATGCTTCACTTTGTTTAATATACAGTAAAATGTCTGACTTTCTAGTCAAAAACAGATCAGTGTCAGTTTATCTTTGCTAGAGTTAGCCAAAATATATCAAAATTTCACTTCCTGTTGCCATAAAACATTTGCTAAACTATAACTCATCAGTGGCTTGCAATATAATTTAACCAAACCTGGGGGATTTGTGCACCCAAGGGTCCTAAATGAGTGTGCTGAATTTCATATAACTGTGCCAATAGTGGGCGCTACAGTGGACGCCAATGACTACCTAACTAGATATTTTTGCCATTGTTTCATGTAGGAGGGTCATTCAAAGACACGGTGACACTGCACACTTTGCCTTAATTTGGTGTAAAGTAGTATTTTGATTTAATGTATAGTATTTGATTGAAAGCCAATTAAATCTGATGTTGTGATTTTGACTGTTTTGTGTTTTCAGCTCACCCAATCCAACCCTAACTATAAGCTTTATCAAAAAGGAAAGTCTTAAGTCTTAAAGGTAGAGAGGGTGTCCGCCTCCTGAACTGAGACTGGGAGTTGGTTCCATAGTAGAGGAGCTTGATAGCTAAAGGCTCTGCCTCCCATTCTGCTTCTGTGGACTCTAGGAACCACAAGTAAACCTGCACTCTGAGAGCGAAGTGCTCTGTTAGGATGATAAGGCTCTACGAGGTCTTTAAGATACAATGGAGCCTTGTCATTAAGGGCTTTATATGTTAGGAGAAGGATTTTAAATTCTATTCCGGAATTTACAGGGAGCCAGTGCAGAGAAGCCTTGAAGGGAATGTTCAGCTGGATCCTGTTAGTGGCTTTTCTATGAACTTTATTGTGGAATCAGGCACCTGTTGCTAATTGAGATTACAAAACAGGACAGAATGGCACAACAGTATGCCTAGTTAGGCTATGTGGTTATATTACCTAGTAACCAAAAAAGTGTCAAGAAAGCAAAATGCATTTTAAATGTAAAATTTTTCAAAGTAGTCACTTTTTGCTTTGATAACAACCTTGCACACTCTTGGCATTCAGCCAGCTTCATGAAGTAGTCACCTGGAATGCTTTTCTAACAGCCTGAAAGAAATTCCCATATATGCTGCACATTCTTTTACTTCATGCTGTATTCCAGCTCATCCCAAATGATCTCAGTTGGTTTTTAGGCTGGGTGATTGGGGGGTACAGTTCATCTGATGTAGGACTACATGACTGTCCATCTTGTTCACATAACCCTGGAGGTGTGTTTTGGGCCGCTGCCCTAATGGTACAACAAACCAGCTGGAATGGCATGTCAAGGCAGAATGTTGCAACAACCATGCTGGTTAAGTGACTACATTTTTGTATTTATATATAACCAGAGGAAGACACGGGAAGAAGCAATTCTCTTCTTCTTATTCATTTTCTTCAGTACTGGTTTCTTTCACGCACTTTGACCATGACGTGTCAATTCAGACTTTCTTCTCTGGACAGCTGATGTTGAAATGTGTTGGCTACTTGAACACTGGCACTATTGGACTCTAATCTGAAATGCCAGTAACTCTAATGAATGTATCCTCTGCAGCAGAGGGAACTCTAGCTCTTCTTTTCCTGGGGTGGTCTTCATCAGAGCCAGTTTCATCAGTTTCATGGTTTTTGTGAGTGCACTTAAGACACTTGCAATGTTCTTTAGATTTTCCAGACTGACAGACAGTCTTAAAGTAATGATTGGCTGTCATTTCTCTTTACCTAAATGAGTAATCCATGCCATAAAATGGAGTACTACAGTAGTCCAGTAGGGCTCATTTTTGTATACCAGCATTATGCAGCTTCAGCGATACTTACATGAGGTCCTCCCATGTCAGTCCTTACCCAGCCACTGTAGACACATATCAAAGATTCATCTGATCCTAAATCAGCAGCTAGACACCTTGTCACCATGTGCAGTGTTGCCTATATTTAGAAAGCCAAGTACTGGGTAGTAATATATTACCTAATTTCCCGCTGTTTTAAGTGAAAATTAAAAGCACCACATAATTCTCTTAACTCAGTTCTGTGTGCTTATATTGTGTACCTAAACTCTGACCTTGGAGGTGCGGTAGGAGTAGCTCTTAAAGTTAGCACCTTCATCCCAGGTGTATGTAATGGAGCCGCAGATGTAGAACATGATGATAACGGCTGCTCTATGGATCCCCATCCCAGCAGCAGAGACAGGGGGGCCTAAACACAGAGAAGAGCGACAAACAGAAATGATGAGCTAGGATGTTCACTGAAGATACTGCAGCTAGAACTGAAAATGGATACCCCAAAAACATTATATCTATAATATAAATAGATAGATAGATCATTTACTGTTTTGTAAGCAGCCTGACCGAAGAGTCAGATATGATACACAATGTTGCCACAAAGCTAAACTTATACATTATGTGAAAAATATATCCAGGTTTTCCTCATTCACATGGCAACATTAGACCAGCACAGACAATTTTGTTCACGCTGGGTGGTAGTTTGAAACGATCCACTCAGGCTGTGTAAAAGCTGGTCAAGTGTACAAAATGGAGAGAAAAAATTTATTTGGAAAATGATCCATATACTGTTTCCTGATGTGGCAGTACAGTGACACCAGGACAACAGATAAAAACACAAAGAAAGAGTAGAATCAGCTTCTCTTCTCTTTCCTTGTCCATTTCTGTTCTACAGGTCCAACCCAATTGGACACTGTCTTATGGTTTCTATGCTTGATTGTAAGTATCTGGTTATTTGTGATTTTAGTTGGGCACATTAAAGTTTACATTTATATGTGATGTGTGCTGGGGTAACCCAGGGTACAACTCAGGGCTCAGTCACCTGTAAAACTTCAACAAAGGTAAAAAGAAACATCTCATTGAAATAAACAAAATCTATTTGTGAATACAGTGCATCAAATTGTAGAGGAGGACGCTTTCATGAGCAGGAAAAGCCACACCAGATGGCAGTGTTGTGCCACTTGAGTTGTCTGGAAAACAAAACAAAAAAGTAAATCTTTCATGCTTCTCTTCATTGATTTAAATTATTTCACTGACGTAAAAAAAAAAAAAAAAAAAAAAACAGGACACAATATATTCATATATTAAAAGTCACTACTGGTCACTGTATCCATTCCTCCTCTCTTAGGAGGCTTCAGTATTCAATTCATTTTTTAAAATCTCAAGGCAGTGGATAGCAGAGAGAGAATAGGAAAGAATCAAGGCACAACAACAAAAACTAGCAGCTTTGATATTTTCTGAAAAAAGTTTCCGCGTGTGAGCACCAGCCGATGTCTCCCCTCAGCTGTCGGTTGGACTTGCAGAGCACAGCACAAGGTTTGTCCACACATGGTGAAATAAGATCCAGTGACAGCATGTTGAATAACATGGAGAAAAGTCTGGGGTTTGACTGAATCAGGACATATTACACAATACAAAAAAACACCGAGAGCAAAACAAGTGGCAGAGAAGGACTAAGTCAGACAAAGATAAGTCAAATGAAGTCAAGAATCTTTATTGTCATTATGCATAGTGCAACAAAATTTTTTCCGGCAGCTCTCAGCTTAACAAACAGATATATTATTTACATAACACACAATTGTATAAGTCAATATAAAAATATGAACAAATAAAGAAGGATGTATGGGACCTAATCAGGTCAGCAGCATGTTAGCAGCAAGAGTGTAGTAACATTATAAGGTGCAGCTCAGTGTAAATCTCAGTCTTTAGGAAGAGATGTGAGTCCAGTGTTCTGTGTCTGTCCATAGGGGGGAGGTTGTGCGTGTGACTAGGGGTTAGGAGGGTGATTGATTTCACAGCTCTGGGGAAGAAGCTGTGTCTCAGTCTGTTTGTTTTAGTCTTTATATTCCTGTACCTTTTCCTGGAGGGAAGGGGCATAAACAGACTGTTGCCTGGGTGGGTGGGGTCTGCAGCAATCCGTCCAGCCCTCCTTACCACACTGTCACACTGAGACAGAGGATGGTCTATATGGTTGCTCTGTAGAAGTTTGCGAGCAGCTGAGAGGAGAGACCAACACGTTTCAGCTTCCTGAGGAAGAAAGACACAAAGACTCCATCTTTAAATCAGATAGTTTAACTAAAATGCATCAGGAGGGATACAAATTACACAATCTTTTTTTAAACCTATTTTTCCATGTTGCTCCAGATGGGTAACATGGCATTTCCTTATTTCTGTACACTAAAGTATGTAATTTGAGGTTTTTAGTTTGAAACTCTCAGGATATTTACATGTTTACATGTTTGTAATGAAACTCATGTACTTCTTGTTTACATCCATACTAGATCTGATTAACCTTTCTCTATTAACAGGTTATGTTCCATAGGCCTTTAAGGTTGCAGTAATTAAACCTCTACTCAAAAAGCTACTCTTGACCCAGGTGTCCTAGCTAATTATAGACCAATATCCAATCTCCTATTTATTTCCAAAATCCTTGAAAAAGCTGTTGCAAAGCAGTTGTGACCACTTACACAAGAATGATGCAAAGTGAATAGTGAATGAAGCATTGGCTTCACTTCTAAGCCTCGGAAGTTACCGCGTGTGTTTTCAACGATCTTCCCTTAATGCATCATTACGTTCTTACGTATTGCGTCACCCTTCTGTGACGCCCTTCTCTTGTGTGCGTGCTCGGTTTTCGGCCCTGAAGCACAGATATCATGGTGAGCTTTACTTTTATCTTTTGTTTTCTAAACCGATAGAAGCTGTTGTGGTTTAGTGCTTTATCTTTGTATGTAACTAGGTTCGTAAAGAGCCCGTGGAGCAGTTCCAATAATGTTTAGGGTGTTTGTTACTTTATGCAACGTCTCTTTATGTTAGCTCTCAACCGGAGAGGAAGCACATGGGGTTAGCTTGAAATCAGTGGTGGGAACCCTGCTTGGCTGCTATTTTCGTTTCAGTTTTTTTTTTTTTTTTGTCTTTTTATTTTGTTTGTTTGATTTGATAATTAGGCATTTAGTTGGTTTTGTAGCCCATGGCTGCAGAAGGGGGGTATAGATTGAGGGATGGCGATGACAGAATGTTCTAGAGATAAAGGAAAACGAGGTGCTTATAGTGAAAGACCTAAGGTGGAAGGTTTTGTGGGGGAAATACGGCGAGGAAGATGGATAGTTTGGAAGAGGTTGTGGTTTTGTTCCGAATAAAGGGCCATAAAGAGGGGTGAGGAGGGTTTAGGGCTCTAAATCTTTTAATAGTAACAGCTGCATTGGACGAACAAAGGGATTTAAGGCCAGTTTGGTGTAAAGAGCAGGATCAGTTTGACAGTGCTTAAGTGGTAGGCAAGGTTGACCCTGCTTGCTCTCATTCGTCTTAGCTAACTAGACAGCATGCTAGTTTA